ACATTTCATTTCATTTCTATATTGTTCCCCTCCCTCTTTAATCACTTTTGTGGGAAGCCAACTCCATTAAGGCTGCAAGATTGCAGATTGCAATGATAACACATCACGAAATGGAATTTATCAGAGCAATACTGTATATTAGTTATTGCTCATTTTATTTTCAATATTTCATAAATTTACAAGCATCAATGTCCCTATATGTACACCATTTTAATGAGCTCTCCACTTAGTTTCGTGTTTTTTCCTTAATCTTTCTATTATACACCAGGGTTGAACAGTTGCCAATATCATTCTTTCAGCAACAGTGTTCCTTTTTTAAGGTCAATGCTTACCCAAAATAACCTTGGTTAATTTTTTCTCTCTCAAATGATAAACTTTGAACCAGAATACTTTTAATCTGATGTAGGTAAACTCACCTTCACATATGAAATGATTTATTAGCTCCAATCCAGTTGGACAAGCACATTCATAACCTAAAGACAGGTCCCAGCAATAATGTGAACAATGTCCATTTGCCTCCAAACACTCATTCCGATCTGTCAACCAAAAAAAATTAACATAAATGAAGGAACACTGAACTTTATACCTGTAAATTATGTAAAGTTGATAATGCAATCCCATGGATCTGTTTTTGATGGGGGATGCAAAGAAATCAGACATTTTTGCTATGTTACTTTATTGTATTTACACTCTGAATATGCTGTATCAGTCCAAGTGATGTGCACAGATTAGAATCAGTCGAGGACAGTTCTTTCACCTCCAGCCTCAAGTCCATCAATCTCCCCTATTTGCAATCAGATACAGTCATGAAGGGCTGAAGTCCTGCTAAAGCCCAATATTCTCCTCACCTCTGGGTATTATATCTTCCATCTGTAGCACTGCACTTTGCCAAAACCCTAGGTTCAATACCAGATCACCTGAACTACCATCCCAGTGTAATTGTAGGCAACCTAACCACAGGAACTCCTGAACATCAACACAGTGCCTCTTCCAAATCTCCTTTTTGCCCTGCCCTCTGTACCCAGCATCACTCAGCCACTATACACTCACAAGCTCAATGTGCAAAGAGGAACTTGAAATTAGGACAGCAAAGAGAATAACAAAAGATAAAATAAAGAAAAATTAAGTTATTTTACACGTGCATTAAGAGTAAAAAGGATAATTAAGAAAAGAGTAGGGCCCATTAAGGACCACAATGGTAATTTGTGCATGGAGATGGAGGAAGTAGGTAGGGTTCTAACATAATACATTGAGTCAGTATTCACTATTGAGAGGGGCAATGTGGGTATAGAAATCAGGGGGAGGCAGGGACAAATCAAGAAGAGTGGTTTTGTTAAGGGAAGGTCATGTTTGACCAATGTGACTGAACTTTTCGAAGAGGTAACCAGGTGTGTAGATGACGGCAATGCATTTGACACAGTCTATTCGGACTTCAGCAAGGCTTCTGGAAAGCTGGCAAATGGGAGACTGATAGCAAAGGTGACAGCCCATGCGATCCAGTGAAACATGACTAATTGGTTCCAATCTAGTGGGCAAGAAGCAGAGGGTGTTGGCAGAACGGTGCTTTTGTGACTGAAAGCTTGGTGTCCAGTGTGGTTCTGCAGGGATCAGTGGTGGGGCCCTTACTGTTTGCAGTATATATATAAACAATTTAGACTTGAATTTAGGAGAGTGGATCGATAGGTTTGTGGATGTTACAAAAATTGGTCAGGTGGTAAATAGTGAGAATAGCCTTAGATTATGGAAAGATATAGACAGGCTTGTCATATGGACTGTTCAGTGGCAAATGGAATTCAATCTGGAAAGCGAGTGATGCACTTGGGCAAGACAAACAAAGCATAGGAATTCATGATAAACAGTAGAACCCTGGGAAGCATCAAGGAAGCACTAAGGATCAGAGGAATCTTGGCATGCATGTACACTGGTCCCTTAAGGTAGCAGGACAGGTGGATAGAATGGTTAAAAAGACATATGGGATACTTGCCTTTATTAGAAGGGGCATAGAGTTTAAGAGCAGAGAGGTGATGCTGGATTTGTATAAAACATTGGTTAGACCAGAGCTAGTACTCATTACGTACAGTTCTGGAATCCACGTTATATGATGAATATGCTTGCACTCAAGAGGTGCAGAGGAGATTTTTCAGGATGTTGCCTGCGTTGGAGAGTTTCAGTTATGAACAGAGATTGGGCAGACTGGGGGTGTTTTCATTGCAGCAGAGAAGACCAAAGGGGGAGATGATTAAGATGTATAACCTTAGGAAAGGCGTAGACAGGAAGGAACTTTGCCCTTTAGTGGAGGGATCAATGACAAGGGAGCATATATTTAAGAGAAAGCGTTGGAGATTTAGAAAGAATAGAGTCATATAGCACGGAAACAGACCCTTTGGGCCAACTTGTCCATGCAACCAGATTTCCTAAATGGAACTAGTCCCATTTGTCTGCATTTGGGCCACATCCACCTAAACCTTTCCCATCCATGTACCTGAGCAAATGTCTCTTAAATGTTGTCATTGTACTTGTCTCTACCACTTCCTCTGGACCACCTTGTTGGAACGACCTTGTTCCATATATGTATCACCCTCTGTGTGAAAATGTTGCCCCTCAGGTCCCTTTTAAATCTTTCCTCCTCATCTTACACCTATGCCCTTTAGTTTCCGACTCCCCTACCCTGGAGAAAAGACCTTGGCTATTCACCTTATCTATACCCCTCATGATTTTATAAACCTCTATAAAGGTCACCCCTCAGCTTCCTACGCTCAAGTGAACTAAGTCCCAGCCTATCCAGCCACTCCATAAAACTCAAACCCTCCAGTCTCTGTAATATCCTTCAGAATCATTTTTGCACCTTTTCCAGTTTAATAACACCCTTCCAACGGCAGCGCAACCAGAATTGCACGAAGTGCTCCAAATGTCGCCTTTCCAATGTCCTGTACAGTCGTAACATGACATCCCAACTCCTGTACTCAATGCTCTGACCAATGAAGGCAAGTGTGCCAAAAGCCTTCTTTGTCTATCTGTGGCACAATCTTTAAGAAACTATGTACCTGCACCCCTAGATCTGTTTGACAACACTCCCCAGAGCCCTACCATTAACTGTGTAGGTCCTTGCCCTTCTTTGGCGTACCAAAATGCAATACCTCGCACTTATCTAAATTAAATTCCACCTGCTACTCCTTGGTCTAATGGCTCAACTGATCAAGATCCTTTTTATTCTTAGATAACCTTCTTCACTGTCTACTGTACCACAAAATTTGGTGTCATCCACAAACTTACTAACTATGCTCCATATATTCTCATCCAAATCATTTATATAAATCATTTATACAAACAATAGCAGACCGATACCTGCGTAGCACCGCTAGTCACAGGCCTCCAGTCCAACAAACAACCCTCCCCCACCACCCTTTGGCTCCTCTCATCAAGTCTATGTCAACCAGTCTACCATGTGGAAGGTTGTCAAAGGTTTTGCTTTGCTAAAGTCCATATAGACAACGTCTATCATTCTGCCCTCATCTATCTTATTGATCACACCACAGAAAGACCAAGTTTGTGAGACATGATTTCTTATGCACAAAGCAATGCTGACTATCCCTGAATAGTCCTTGCGCGTCCAAATGCATGTCAATCCTGTCTCTCAGAATCCCCTCCAACAATTTACCCATCACTGACTTCAGACTCACTGGTCTATAGTTCCCAGGCTTTTGTTTTCTAAAATGAAACAGGACATATGTCAGCATCGCCCCAGGAACACATTGATAAAAAGAACCACAGTGGATGTGTGCACAAAGGTCCTGAAAAAATAAATCATAGTCATGATTACTGGCCATTCTCTAGTGGATGATGGCATCACTGACAGAAACATAGAAATATTGAAAACAGAAGAAGGAAGAGTAGGCCATTCATCGCAGCTTTTCCAGTCTCAGAATCCCCTCTAACAACTCAACCACCAGTGGGATTAGGCTCATCAATCTGTCGTTCCCTGACTTTTCCTTGCAGCCATCCTTAAATAATGGCACAACATTAGCCACCCTCCAGACTTCTGGCACCCCACCCCTAGCCATTGATGACAAATATCTCCGCTAGGGGCACTGTAATTTCTTCCCAGCTTCCCACAATGTCCTAGGATACACTTGATCAGGTCTTAGGAGTTTATCAACCTTTGGGCATTTTAAGACCTCTAGCACCTCCTCCTCTGTGATGTGTATTCTTTGCAAGACATCCCTATTTATTTCCCTGAGATCCCGAGCTTCCATTCTTTCCCCACAGTAAAATACAGACACAAAGTATTCATTTAGGATCTCATCCATCTCCTGTGGTTCCATTCACAGATGGCTTAGTTGATCTATAGATCATAAGACATAGGAGCAGAAGTTAGGCCATTCAGCCCATCGAGTCTGCTCTGCCATTCAATCATGGCTGATAAATTTCTCAACCCCATTCTCCCGCTTTCTCCCCATAACCCTTAATCCCCTTGATGATCAAGAACCTATCTATCTCAGTCTTAAATATACTCAACCTGACCTCCACAGCATTCTGTGGGAGTGAATTCCATAGATTCACCACTCTCTGGCTAAAGAAGTTTCTCCTTATCTCTGTTCTAAAAGGTCTTCTCTTAACTCTAAGGCTGTACCCTCAGGTCCTAGAATCTCTTGCCAATGGAAACATCTTCCCAACATCCACTCTGCCCAGACCATTCAGTATTCTGTAAATTTCAATTAGATCCCCCCTCATCCTTCTAAACTCCATTCAGCATAGACCCAGAGTCCTCAAACGTTCCTCATATATTAAGCTTTTCATTCCTGGGACCATTCCAGTGAACCTCCTCTGAACGCGCTCCTTTCATCTCCCTCCCCTACATCTTTCCTGAGACAGAGCCAAAAACTGCACACAACACTCCAAATGTGGCCTGACCAGAGCCTTATAGAGCCTCAGAAGTATATCCCTACTTTTATATTCAAGTCCTCTCAAAATAAATGCCAAAATTGCCTCCCTAACTACTGACTCAACCTGCAAGTTTACCTTAGAGAATCCTGGACTAGAACTCCCAAGTCTCTTTGCACTTCAGACCTGTGAATTTTCTCCCCATTTAGAAAATAGTCTATGCTTCTGTTCTTCTTTCCAAAGTACACGACCTCACATTTACCCATGTTGTACTCCACCTGCCACTTCTTTGCCCACACTCCTAACCTGTCGAAATCCTTCTGCAGCCTCCCCGCATCCTCAATACTACCTGTCCCTCCACCTATCTTTGTATTGTCGGCAAACTTAGCCAGAATGCCCTCAGTTCCTTCATCTAGATCATTAAGGTGCAAGTGAAAAGTTGTGGTCCCACCATTGACCCTTGTGGAACACTACTTGTCACTGGCTGCCATCCTGAGAAAGAACCTTTTAACCCCAGTCTCTGCTTTCTGCCAGACAGCCAATCTTCTATCCATGCCAGTACCACAGCCAAGCTTCTGTCCATGCTAGTACCTTTAAGGGGACCTATTCTCTTCCTAGTTACTCTTTTGCCGTTAATATACTTGTAGAATCTCTTTGGATTCTCCTTTTACCCTATCTGACAAAGCTGTCTCATGTCCCCTTTTTGCCCTCCTGATTGCCCTCAAGTATCCTCCTACATCCCCCAATATTCCTCAAGGGACTCACTTGATCCCAGCTGTCTATACCTGACACATGCCTCCTCCTTTTACCTTGACCAGAACCTCAATATCTCTAGTAATCCAGCATTCCCTACTCTTCCCAGCCTTGCTCTTTATACCAACAGGAACATGCTGTCCCTGAAGTCTTGTTATTCCGCTTTTGAAAGCTTCCCACTTGACGGACGTCCCTTTACCTGCAAACAGCACCCCCAATCAACTTTTGAAATTTCCTAATACCATCAAAATTGGTCTAGTCCCAATTTAGAAGGGCAGCATGGTCGCTCAGTAGTTAGCACTGCTGCCTCACAGCCCCAGGGACCCAGATTCAATTCCACCCTCGGGCGACTGTCTATGTGGAGTCTGCACGTTCTCCCCATGTCTGTGTGGGTTTCCTCCGGGTACTCCCGTTTCCACCCACACTCCAAAGATGTGCAGGTTAGGTAGATTGGCTGTGCTAAATTGCTCATAGTGTTCAGGGATGTGTAGCTTAGGTGGGTTATAAGGGGATGGGTCTGGGTGGGATGCTGTAAAGGTCGGTGTGGACTTGTTGGGCCGAAGGGCCTGTTCCACACAGTAGGGATTCTATGTCTGTGTCTGTGTCTGTGTCTTAACTTGTGGGCCAGGCCTATCCTTTTCCATAACTATTTTAAAACTAATAGATTTATGGTCGGTCACTGGTCCCAAAGTGCTCCCCCACTAACACCTCAGTCACTTTCCATGCCTATTTCCCAACAGGAGTCAAGTTTTGCCCCTTGGGAGGAAAGATTTTTTTTCATCCAAAGGGTGGTTGGAATCTGGAATTCAATGCCTGTTAGGGTGGTAGAAGCAGAAAGCCTCAATGTTGAAGTATTTAGATGTGCACTTGCAACTCTAAGGCATACAAGGCTATGGAACAAGTGCTGGAAAATGGGATTAGAATAGTTGGGAGCTCTTTTTTGACTAGCACAGACTTGACAGGCTGACGGGCCATTTTCTGCGCAGGAGACTTTACGTGTCTAAACTTTACAGGAAATCCAACATCATTCAAGCAGCCCAATACCATCCAAGGCAATGCAGACAACTTGACCAGCACCACACACTTCCTCCAATATACACTCCCTTAAACGATCAACACAGTGACGGCAACTTGCACAAGATGCACTGCAATAAGTCACCAAAACTTCCTCACATCCATATTCCATTAGCCATTTTACTTTAATATATATTCATGACATGTGCAAGCGCAGCCATAAATCTCTGAACTCCGGTTCTCAGCTTTTCAACATTTAAATATTTGGATCTACCATTTCCTTTGGTCCAACATGGAGGACGCCTCACTTGCTTCAGTTGAAATTCATTCACTCTCAAACTAGCAAATATCTCTCTTTATGCTTTCATCTACATTCCACTATACTGCCCATCACTCAGTCATCAGTAAACTTAGATACATATTATCTGAATCATTAATAAACATAATTAATAAATGAAAGCTCAGCACAAAACCTTATAGTTTCCATTAGTTAATTCTGTCCAGTTTCAGTACAGACCCATTATCCATGCTATCTGCCTTTTACCAGCTGAGTAATATCCTAACCAATTTGTCTTTAGTTCAATGAGTTTTCATTGTAACTAAGTCTCATGCATAACCTTATTGATGCCTTCCAGAAGTCCAAATAAACCAAATCTATTCATATTCCCTGGCTGCCACTTTAATAGCTGCTTCTTCAAAAAATTCAGTTTGTTTTACATGACCTACCTGCCACATGTCAATATTTCTCGAGCTCAAATATATCTAATAGCCAAGTTAGTGTGCTTACCTAAAGATTTCAGTAACTTCATAAAAAGAGATTGTAGACTAAGAAATTTATGCACTTGCTGGCTTTGCTCACTCAGCTATCTTAAATGACAGAGTTACATTTGGTTTTTTATAAAGGTAAAGTTGGGTCAAGATGGCGGCAGCGAAGGACGCTACAACTGGAGCTCCTTCATTCCTCCTGTTTATTTCCCATTTTCTCCTCTTTTCTCCCCCCTTTTCCATGTTTTCCCCTGATGTAGAGAAGGCCTCCAGCCCGAGCAGAGTGGGAATGGCCAGCAGGGTGGAGGCCCAGGCAGAGGGGAGTAAATCTGTTGATCTACTGCAGCCCTTTATAGAAAGGCTGTATTGCTTACCTTTTTAACTTTACTTCTTATTTTTTCTAACTTATACTATGAATAACTAAGTAATATAACTTCTTTTCCTTTTTCTCTCTATTTTCTAAGTTCTGTACCTAGATACTTTGTACCAAAGATGGTACCATGTGGGGCGCCATTGTAAAATTTTCACTGCACTCCTGTACTTGAGTACATGTGACAATAAAGGTTATTCTCTTCTATTCTATATGGATCATTTTCAAACTAACTACTGGATCATTGCTTGGGCCTCAATTAAATGTAGTCACATTTACTGATGATGCAAAGATACGAATACAAATTTAATCAGAAAGCAACTTGTGAGAAGGATATAAAGACCAAGCAAAGGATATAGATAAGTTATGAGAGTGGGCAAAAATGTGATAGATGCAATAGAAGTATGAAAATGAGAGGCTATCCACTTTCAAATGAAAATGAGAAAAGCAGAATTTTTAAATAAATAAGAACAGACTGCAGAATGCTGCAGTTTAGAGGAACCTATGACCTTGTACAGGAATCAAAGCTAGCTGGCAGACAAAGCAAACAATTTGGAAGGCAAATAGAATGTTGGCCTTTATATCAAGAGGGGAGTATAAAAGTAAATATGTCTTTCTAAAATACGACATTGGTGAGATTACATATAGAGTAATGAGTACAATTTTGGTCTCTTTACTTAAAGGAGAATATAATTAGATTTGAAGCATTTCAGAGGAATGTTGATTCCTGGGATGAAGGGGTTGCCTTATGAGGAAGGGTTGAGCATATCCTATTGAGCTTACACTCATTAGAGTTAGAAGAATGAGAAACGACCAGACTGAAACATGTAAGACTTTGCAGAAGCTTTAGAGGTGATGAGAGGATGTTTTCCCTTGTGGGGAAATCTAGAACTAGAGGGTTTCACATTTAAGACAAAGATGAGGAGGAATTGCTTCTCTGATGGACTTGGTCTTTTGAACTCTCTTCCCCAGAGAGCTGTGGGCGCTGAGGCATTGGATATATCTAAGATGAATTGGATAGATTTTTGATCAACAAGGGAGTCAAGGGTTGTAGCGGACAGGCAGAAAAGTGGAGTTAAGGTCACAGTCAAACTAACGTGTTCTTACTGAAGACCAGAGCAAGCTCAAGAGGCAAATGATCTGCTTCAGGCTTATGATCGTCCATAGAATGAGATAAGGCTCATGCAGAATATAAACATTGGTAGAGAACAGCTGGGCCAAATGTTTGATTTGCAAATTCCACATTAAAAAATTATAAAGTCCATTTCACGGTTCCACACTTACCACAATTGACTTCATCACTACTGTCACTGCAGTCAGGAAAGTTGTCACAAGCTGACTGAAGCTCTATGCACTGGCCTGAACCACACAGGAACTCCAACTCCCCACAACTTTCAGGTTGCACTGCTCTCTTTTCACAAAGGTCATCAGATTCATCAGTGCCTGACGTACAGTCCTGGTGATCATCACAGAGCTGGTATCTAGAGATACAGACAGTGGAGTTGCTGCAAAGAAACTCATGAGGTCCACATCCTGATACAGAACAGTTTCGCTCATCACTCTGATCATTGCAGTCATCCCTTCCATTACACAGCATCTCTGCAGAAACACAGCGTCCGTTCAGACAGAGGAATTCATTCTCGCTACATCGCACATCACCTGCAAACAATCACAGGGAGTAGTCAAATTCACAAACTATCACAGCAATATAACCACGTACATAATCATATGTTGCTCAGGACATCAGACTGCCTTCCTACCTTCTTTTCAAATCAATTTCCACGCTGTGAAGCATGTCACTCATTTTAGTGTCCTTTCTTCCACTCCCTCCCCATCGTTACCTTATCTGTATCCTTTCTCACCCACATCTCACCTCCCTTTAGCCCACAGTGCGCCACACATACACAGTAACCCCTCTTCCATCAACTGCCTATTCCTTGTTCCCTCACCGCAAATGCAAGATGCATGATTGGGAAACTTTTAGAAAACACAAAAATTGGCTCGGTAGTTGACAGTCAAGAAAACGGCTGTCAACTACAGATGATATTAATGGTCAGTCGTGGGCAGAATAGTGGGAAATAAAATTTAATCCAAAATGCATTGCAAAAGCATGAAAGTAGGACAGGTAAATAACGTGGTAAAGAAGGACAACTCCGGTCCCATCACAGGAAGGACATAATTCTTCTAGAACAATGTACAGAGGAGATTTAGAAGAATGTTACCAGGGCTTGAAAATTGCAGGTGTGAAGAAAGATTGGATAGACTGGGATAGTAGGAATGGCAGATGCTGGAGAATCTGAGATAACAAGGTGTAGAGCTAGATGAACACAGCAGGCCAAGCAGCAGTGGAGCAGGAAAGCTGACATTTCGGGCCTAGATCCTTCTTCTGAAGGGTCTAGGCCCAAAACTTCAGCTTTCCTGCTCCTCTGATGCTGCTCGGCCTGCTGTGTTCATCCAGCTCTACACCTTGTTATCTTGAGTAGACTGGGGTTGTTTTCTTCAAACAGAGGAGGCCAAGTTTAACTTAATTGAGGTGTGCAAGATAATCAGCAGCTGGGATCAAATAACAAGGGGACACAATTTTAGGGTGAAGGGCAGGAGGTTTAGAGGGGATTTGAGGAAAATCGTTTTCATCCAGAGGGTGGTGGGAATCTGGCTTGGGAGGCTAACAGAGGTGAGAAATCTCACAATGTTTAAGAAGTTAATTGATGAGAACTTGAAATGTCATAACATTCAAGGCTGTGGGCCACGTGCTGGAAAGTGGGATCAGTATTGTTGGTCAATGCAGACTCGATGGGGCTGAATGGCTCGAGTGTACAGGAAAGATCTGACTGCCTCATAGCAAGTTCAATTACTAGGTGATCAGATTTAATAAAATGATTTGACGGATAGGAGAAAAACATTTTTATCCAGAGGGTGGTGCATCTGGAATTCACTGCCCAGGGTGGTTGAGATGGAAATTCTCATCTAACTTAAAAGGAACCTGGATCTGCACCGAACCTACATGGCTACAGATCAGGTGGGGCTAGAATGGTTGTCCAGTTTATTCAGCTGGTGCAGACCTAATGGGCTAAATGGTCTCTTTCAGTGGCGTAACTTTTCTAGGACTCTACCACAAAGCAGTTCACTCATAAAACCTACCTCTTCTTCCTTCTCTTTGCCCATGTGCAACATCCCCAAAATATCCTTTAGGGAAGGAAACTGCCATCCTTATCTCAGATAACAAGGTGTAGAGCTGGATGAACACAGCAGGCCAAGCAGCATCAGAGGAGCAGGAAAGCTGACGTTTCGGGCCTAGACCCTTCTTCAGAAATTGGGGAGGGGAAGGGTGTTCTGAAATAAATAGGGAGAGAGGGGGAGGCGGATAGAAGATGGATAAAGGAGAAGATAGGTGGAGAGGAGACAGACAGGTCAAAAAGGCAGGGATGGAGCCAGTAAAGGTGAGTGTGGGTGGGGAGTTAGGGAGGGGATAGGTCAGTCCAGGGAGGACGGACAG